TATATATATTCATCCGCATGGTGCATTATCTATACCCAAGTAACCTCATCCAATCATCTCGTCTTATCACACAGTCGTCGATTGAAACGAGAGGGAGCCGCACTGAGCGCAACTCAACAACAAGCCACACCCAAGCAAACACCTAGTCAGGTATTATTTGGCCCAATGTAATTAATACTATATTGTTAATATATTTGTATCTATTGACACACCCGGGCAAACACCTAGTCAGGTATCTTTGGCCCAATGTAATTAATACTATATTCTTGATATTTTTGTATCTATCGACACACCCAGGCAAACACCTAGTCAGGTATCTTGGCCCAATGTAATTAATACTATATTCTTAATAAATCTGTATCTATTGACACAGTTATGTAGCTGTAGCATAGTACTTGTGGTGGCTGTCATGCATCGCTTGAGCTTTTGTATGTCTTTGCACCTTCTCGCAAACCCCACCAGTAGTCATTAGAGTATGCCATCCATGTTTGCTCTATATACCTCCACATATTGGGGCGAAAATCCCGGGCCCACTCCTGGGTGGACTAAGTGTGTTCCTATCAATTGCACTAACGAACTTAACACAAACACACGATGAATTGCCTCTCTGCCCACCAGAGGACTGCTCGGCGTGCGCCTGGACAGCCCAACTTTGTAACACCACAGAGGCCCACTCAGACACAAACACGCACGCCACAGAAGTCACAATCACACACACACACACACACACACATACACACACACCCGCGGGGATATGGTACGGCTATAAAGAAGGAGAGGAGAGGGGATGACAGACGGCAGAGTGTTGGGGTATCACCTTCTCAGCAGAGACTGCACTCGCCCACGAAAAGACGGGACACACCTGGACAGGACGGTGAGTGGGGGAAGGGCAATGGTGGTGCAATGGGTTATACTGGTATACACTAGTACTATATTATACACACACTCATATACTTGCACACACACACACATACACACACACACACACACACACACACACACACACACACACACACACTACTAA